CCCCCTGCTGTATTTTATCAGGAAATCTCCTGATTGAAGGTCTTAGCACAGAGGGACCACTCTGCTCCACCTCCATTGGACCAGGTAAATCAAACCATATCCAGCTGGTTCTTCCAGCTGATTTCACTTCATATGCCTCTCCTATGGCACCAGTGAAATACAGCCTCCTCTGGAGTGGAGGGTGGCAGTTAAACAGATAACCCTAAATGAGAAGAGGAGAGATTTGAATGAAGGAGACATGGGGAGGCCCAAGTCCTACAGAATGAAACAGGGCGTATAAAAAAAAACAATGATTAAAAAAAATATTTAAAAAAAATTGGATTTTTTTTTATTTGAATCAGATTTATTTTTAAGATGCTTTTTTTAAAAAAATAAACTTATATAAATATAGTTTTAATTTAAGATATGTTAACGCTCAAAGATAACATCATGGAATAGGGATTATAAAACTTCTAATTATATATTATTTGAGACAATATATTCATGGAACCTTTTTAGAAGTTTTAATCACAACAGGCTATATTAGGGGCCCAATCTTATGGGGTTCCCAGAGGCTCCTCTATAGATTAGTAAAGATTAAAAAAAAAGACACTCTACCCAATAGGACTCTGCTCAGTCTAGAAGATCCCATTAAGCATCTCTGTGATGCTTAGTTTCAGTTCTCAAACTGTGGATTTGTGTCTCCAGAGATCATAGGCAGACGAGGTTCTTTGGGTAGATGTGATATCTTTTATTAGACAAACTAAATGGTTGGGAAAATTGTTCCTTGCAAGCTTTCCGGCACAAACACCCTTCTTCAGGTATAGTGAGAGCTTGTTGTCTCCAGAGATAACATCCTTGTTAACAGCAGTATATGGAGATGAGAGATAACAGACCTGATTAGTGATTCCATCAGCCCTATTGTCTCTCTGCAAGTTTGTGTACACACAGTCAAGCCCTTACCTTTCTCCAAAAGTACAAAGTTTCAAGAAGGTAAATTAATAAAGGATATCAAACAACAAGAATGCACTTTTTGTAGAAAACAATGATTAAATCAAGGCTTTGTGGTCAGTGCTTTAAATCAAATCCAACCTGGAATGAAGTCCCAAGGGAATGGCAGCACCTTGTTTTCTAAAAAGAACTGGGAGTAAATTAATTGTGTGTGAAAAACCATCATGGTTCCAACATGCAACTAGACACGTGCCCATAGGCACACACCCATGCCAAAGCTGCCAACACCTGCACGCACATCACACACTATTAAATATAGCAGCAGCTAGAGATTCCAGCCAAGGCTGACATCTGGCTGAACCAGACACTGTGTACACACAGCAAAGAGTAGCTCCCTTCCCAGGAGGGTCCTACAGTCTACACCAGCAAGACAAAGGGAGGAAGAACATATTTCCCATCTTTATTTTACACAGATCAAATGACTTGACCAAGGTCATGCAGGGAGTAAGTGTCAGAGCTGAAAATGGAACCCAGGTCTCATTAAACTAATGTATTTCAGGGAGCTAGGCAGAGCAGCCTAGACCTCAGGCATTGAGATGTCTGATGTTTAAGAGGTCAAGGCAGGGAGATTAACATTTCTTGGACTATTTGACTTTGAAAGGTGGTGAGTGGGAGATGATAATATATGTGCAACAGGTTGACTAAGACAACCTCAGCCCTTCCCCTTGATCCAGCAAACCAAAGAGCCCAGAGTGTCAGGGTGACAGGCAGTAAATTCCAAAAGCTGTAAATTTGCTTCCAGTCAGTCTGTTGGAGGAAGCATGTAGCAAACCTGTGGAATTCACCGCCATGGGCAATCAACAAAGCAAACACTTTGGCAGGATATGAAATGGGGGACTGGGATTTAAACACACACCAACAAGCAGAGGCAGCTGTGCAGAGCTAGGAGTTCAGGTCAAATAATGTTTCAACAAATCCTCCCTGCTTCAGAGGACAGGCCCATGCCTCTCTGGGAAGAAAGAGGGTTTTGGGGGGAAGAATGCATGGCTGGGGTGATGGGGCCAAAACTACTAATTTCTCCTGGAAAAATGACGTTGCCTGACTGGACAGATGTACTGATGTGCAGCCAAGAAAGGGGTGCAGCTCCCTCTGGAACCAGATCGCAATACAGCCCTGTCTGCTTTGCTAGCTCCTGTGTTGCAAAGATATTCTGCCACTTAAACCTTCTTCTTCCTCTGCCATGTCTGCATTGAGCAGCATCTCCTTCTACACACAGGCAGCAAACAAAAAAATCTAGGGCTCAAACTGGATCTCTTGCAGAGCAAGGGGAAGACAAGCTCTGGAGAGACCCCCAAAAGCTATTGTGTCTTTGTATAATAGATCAGCAGCAGGGGACTTGGAGCTACCTACTCCCCTCTACCCTCTGACACACTGCTGCAGAAGAGGCACCCCCATCCCACAGACATTACTAAAACTGTCCCAAACCCAGCAGTGGTTTAGTTAATATTCGCCCAGAACCCAGGGGTTATTTTGCCTGAAACTATGTCCAGACCAGCTGCCCCACCTTGCCACTGTAACTGCTTTCTGCCACTGCCTTTGCACATCTCTGCAGAAAATCATGATTGTCCCACACCATGTGTGGTACCCAGAGAGCATGTTTGCTGCATGTATCAAGCACTGGTGTTCAGGGGTGAAGGGGTTAACTCCGCTCCACAAGAGCGCACAAAGTTCACCCCTATTGGGAACCATTCTCCACCCAGACATGGGGGTCTCCTGCAGTCAGGCAGCATTGGGTTGGAGCTCCTCCTAGCCTCCAACCTTTCCCCAAAGGTCAGCTACAAGCAGATCCTAAAAGACTCAAACCACTCTTGCACTCCCCTTTCTACCTGAAGACTGAAGGATGCATCTGTAAGGGAGGGAACTCTAGGTTCACAGCCTGGAGGGGATCCTGAACTCCTGGACAAAGCAGATGACTGGAGGTACAGTATCATGAAGGGCTCTGCTTTCCAAATTGTACTCCCTGGCTGAGCTGGCTAACACCCCAATGTTCCATACAGAAGCTATGACCTGCTTTAGAGCCCCCCACAGTGGTCTTCCCCATGGCAGTACAGAGACCAAATAGCCCCTCTAGCCAGTGCAGTGACAGGTATCACACTGCAAAGGAGTGGCAGTGGAACATCTGGGAAACCAAATAAAAGAAGACATCCACATCTGCATGTTGGGCATGCAGGTGCAGGGCCCAGGCACTGCCACAGCAAAGTGTTGCTGGGCCCAGTAAGAGAAAAACACCAAGCATGTGCAGGCCTGGTTGGGCCAGAGTTGCAAAGAGAAGGCTGATCAGGGGAGTGAGGTTATGCATTGCCACACTGACAGGCTTATGTCATGTGTTGGAAAGGTAATTGCTGGACTCACCAGGCAGGGAGAAACCCCCCAACCTGGCATGGCACAACAGGCACCATTCCAAAGGCCTTTCACTTCCTTTGTAGCAATATGCATCAACCTCTTCTAGAAGTAAGATTCCAGCCTTGGTAAGACCCTTCCAGCTGTCTGTTCTGGTCTCCTGCCTAGCATAAGCATGAGAACACCACCCAGGGACTGAGTAGTAGGAAAATCCTCTCTCCTCCTTGTCCCTATGCATTTGGCACCACCTCCATCGTAGCAAACAAGATGGTGGGAGCACCTAAGGAATTAACTTCATGCTATAATATGCCAAAACCTCAGTGCACATATGCAAAGTTACTGGGGCTGGGGAGCACCAGCAGGGGTCTACAGGACTGGCTGATACTCAAAGACCACTTCTTCTTAAAACCTGTGTTCAGCAGTGGCAAGCTAGGGGTGGGGGGTCTTCACCAGATAACACCAGCCCATGGTGCTGCGCTCCTGATGTTCTCTTTGGCCAGGCACCATGGCGTGGGGCAGCTCCAGGCTATTTGCATCCATTTCCTCTCCATAACCATAAAAGCATAAATCTGGAACAGCCTCTGCCCTGCAGGTTCCTGTAGGTCAACTTGTCTCCCATTTGCTGGGTGTAGCCAGAAGCACAGGCAGGGAGCAAGCACCTGGTGAGGGTCCCCCTGAGCTGGGAAGGCTATGCACACACACCTGGTTCAGTCCCAGCCTATGCCAGGATTCAGAGGGGGTGCTGGCCAGACACATCTTGTCTCTTCCTTGGCCTGAGAGAAGTCACACTGAATGGAGGCCTTTGCAGATAGCAGGAACTATCTGGAGAGATCATGAAGAGCATCTGTGGAGGGCTATGTAGCTGAACTGTGAAAAAGAAGTGAAGGGAACTAGCCATTCCAAAGCAATGGGGCCCAAAAAAAGGCCACTGAGTTTGCTTTTACAAGGCAGGGAGGAAAACTGGGTGACTGTGAGGCTCCTGCCCTCCAGAGGAATACCCAGAATTGAAAGCAAAGAGCAGAGATACCAGTTGTGACTCAGAAAACCCCAGAAACTCTGACAGGCTGATGCAGAGAGACCAAGGCCAAGAGAAGCCCTGTACTGTCATCCATGTGCACAGGACCACAGACCACTCTTAGCTGATAAGCTGTGGAATCTCCCAGGAGTGAAGACTGAAAGGACCCCTCCAACTCTCTGAGCCTGTCTCCTGCCTATCACAAACCTGAGAATTCTGGCCAGGGACTTCTTAAGCAGAGAGCTTTGAAGGGAAACTATGTGGTAACATCTCTGAAGGTCTAAAGAGGTGGATGGACGAACTGGCTTCTTCAGGGCAAGTGCCCTTTTATGACCAACATATGGCCCACCCCCAAATATTCAAGTGATTCTTGAATAGGGGGCAGCACCCAGGTCTGTTCTGATATGAAGGGGATCAAGATAGCTGCCACCCTAAGACCCTATCCAGCACCCTCCAGACTAACCTTATTCCTCAGTTCCTGCTGAGAAGGGTGTATGGGCTTGGACCCAGGGTCTGCAAGTCTAGTCCCTTCTATCGAATAGAAGCTACTTCCTTTATCCTCCTCCTAATGAGCAGCTCTTTCTGACCATCCTCTGTTCCTTCCCCCACCCCCACAGGGCTGATGGAGCTGGAAAGCATGGAGCAGCAACATTACCTTCACATTGGTATGGACCGCCGATTCCGGGGGGTAGACAATGAAATGCCGGAGGGTGAAGCCGAATCCCCCCTGTGGGCTCTTCCGGAGCACCACTGTCTTCGGCCCCACCCAAGGAAAGGACTCCTCCAAGGGGGCATTGGCATTTGGGGAGGCCCCATCTCTCCGGCCTGGTGTTGGCTGTCGGGGACAAAGAAAAAGGGATATTAAGGCAGAGCCCCACACAGATTTCTGCTTTATTCCCACCTCACCCTCCTGGGCTCGAGCAAAAGGAAGAAGAGCACTGGGGTTCATGCACTGTACTGGAATTCATGAGGCTCTTGTTCCATACCCTGGCTCTGCCACTGACTTGTGGCATGACCATGGGCAAGTCACTTTGGTCTAGATGGGCGGTACCCAACCTTCCAACACCACGGGCCAGATGAATGGAGTAGGGTCAGCCTGTGGGCCAGATCCCATGCCAGGTCGGCCCGCAGGTCTTATCCCATGCACTAGGATCCAGCTACATGCTGGCCCAACCCCACACGCCCAGATCAGGCCACAAAGCAACCCCACATGCTGGGGCAGGGCCACATTATCCGCCCTGTGGGGGGTCCCCATGCGTCCAGAAATGGCAGGACAGGAGCAACAAAGCTGCCACCAATCCCCCACTGCCAAGTTTCTGGACCTGTGGGCTAGATCTGGTTTGCAGGTCAGAGGTTGAGCACCACTGGTCTAGATCCTTAGAGGACTTTGGCCCCTAATTCTCACTGATGTCAACGGAACTTCAGAACTAAATACCTTTAAGGACTTGGGCTTTTGTCTCTCTGTTTCAGAGATAATGCTACTGCTTTTCCACCCCTTGTTCTCCAATTTCCAACCTGTCAAAACTGTAAACTCCTTGGGATAGGGATTCTTTTGCTATGTTTGTACAACCCCTGGCATAGTAAGGCCCCAATCTCAGCCTCTATGGTACCTAAACAGACAGTCAGGGTCTCTCTGTGCCAAGCACTGGACACGCATATAATGAAAAGACAGTCCCTGCTCTAGGAATGCCTCCTTCATTTCTTATCCTGAACTATTCCTATGTCCAGTTAAAAAGTTCAACGTTTCTTCTCAGAGGTGGCCTCAAAGAGTCCTCTGTCAGTAGACTGCTAAGTGCTTTGGGAAAAAGGAAATTACAGAAAGCTATGAGGTGGTGCTGGTAGCAATAACAATGCTGTAGCAAGTCTATAGATTCTCAGGGCACCTCACAAGCTCCCTGGGAGGAAGCAACTGCCACCCCACTCACAGGTGGGTAAACTGAGGCATGGCACAGCCAAGTGGCCTACCCAAGGTCACAGCGACTTAGCAGCCAAACCTTCTCCAGCCCTGTCTGTCATCCCTGTGACCTGCCTATAAGACCATCCTTCCTCCTCCACAGCGGCACTCTAGGAATGATTCATGGGACAAGACCTGCAGTGTTTCCTGGGCCAGGAAGCTCACTCCAGACATAGCCAGATTCCCTTGGAGCATCAGAGCAAGAGGTTTCCCCATCCCTTTGGTTATGTGGCTGCCCACAAGTGATACCACCACACTCCCACCCTGCTTAGGAAGAAAGGGGTGTCCTTTGGGATTGAGTGAGACACTAAACATGACCTGAAAGAGAAATGACAGTTAATGGTAACTGCCTGCTGAGCAAAGAGCCGAGGGATCCCATTCTGCAATGAACACACTGCTGGAAATCTGACCCCATTTCTCAGAGATGGGGAGGGCTGGCTACAATGCAAAGACTCACTCTCATTCTGTTCTTGAATAACATCCACATGGACCTTTAGATAGGGTGGCTCTAAGCTGCAAGTTTCAAACCTGGGCAAATTCACCTCTTCAACAGCCCTGTGCCTAGGCCAGTGCTACACTGCCAGATGCTCATGGGCAGTAAGACTTGTTTCAACAAGGGAGAAGTGCCCTGATACACTCAAAGATCTGGGCTTAACTAACTGGCTCAAGATCACCCACGAAAGTCTGTGGCAGACCAAGACAGAGAACACAAGTTTTCCCACCTCCTTGCTCAGTGGCCACTGGACCATCCATGCTCCCTTGTTCCAGGTATTCTGCTGCCCAGTTTCAAGTCCGATGGCTCCTAATTGCACTGCATCATTACAAAATACAGCACCCTGCCTAGATCCAACCTGTACCCTACCACACAGAGACCAACTCTTATTCACTTGCATGCTGCTCATGAAACACTTCGCATCATTAACAACATGCAACATTCAAGAGGAGAAATTAGCAGGCTCTGGCTTGAGGGGGAGCCATATTTCTAGTCAAAGTTCGAAAAGAAACAGCAAGGCAAAGAGGTACACACCCAGGCCCGATTGCCACACAGTGCTTGTGGCAGCCTAAAAGTGTCAGCTAAGGGTGTGATTTTCTAAACCATGCAGTTAGACCAGTGCAAAACCTAGGGAGGCTACCTTCTTATAGGTATAAAGGTGCTTGCACTGGAATGCTTTGTGCCTCTCCACAACTGCAGGTAGCTATAATTGGCAGAAGCACTTTTATACAACCTCTGCATCACCAGAGGACATACTCTGCCTGGGCAGCTATGGTTAAAGTCAGGGCTGTACAACTGAGGCCCTCGAGGGGCCAACATGCAACCTGTGGGCTCCTTCAGCTTTCTCTCCCACAGCTGCACAGCAGAGGAGGGCTGGGGAGTGGGTGGAGGCTACATACCACTGGCACTGTCTGCAGTGTGGGGTAGGGGGCTACATGCTGCCCATACTGCTTGTGGAGAGAGGGGTACAGGGAATCTCAAGGGACCACCTGCTCAGCATATGGCCAGCCAGGCGAACAGCCCAGGCACTGCATACCAGCACCACACACAGCCCCCAGCCCTAGGGAAGTTGGGCAGCACTGACCAAAGCACTACAGATTATGCAGCACCAGATGGCAGAGGCTGCACTGGAGAAGGCTCTCACACACATGCAAGTGAGATTGTGGCAAACTAAAGAGAGAAGAGGCCAGTGGTTGGGGCAGAGAAGGAAGAGCAGCGAGAGAAGGGCTGCAAAGCTGGCTGGACGCAGCCCCTAGAGGGTCTGAGGGAAAGCAGGAGGTACTAAATAGGATCCAGCAGCCAGGGTGGTGGGGGTTGTGCCTGAGGAGGAATGGGCATAGCTCTGGAAGGCAGGCGGCAACATGCTGGGGAATCAGGGAGGCACAACCTGGGGGTGGGAGGCTGCAAGAAGAGAGGAGCTGGGAGCAGCAAGCAAAACAAAACAAAAAATACCCTCTTTTCTTGCTCTAACCATGGGAACAGCCACCGCTTTGGTCAGTGGAAAGCGGATTGTGAGGCACCTTTGGCTGGAGGGTATAAAACCCTTTCCATGGAGGGAGTGGGAGTTGGCACCATTCTGGGCACTGGTAATGAACATTTCCTGGCGCAGATCCCACTTCTCAGGCCCCAGGGAGCAGCAGCCTCCTCTTCCCCTCCCTTCCTGCAGGAAGCTGGACTGCTCCTTTGTTCTCTGCCCCACTGCCCCCTAGCAAAGCCAGAAGCTGCCAGGTTGACTAGACAGTGCCACCTCTTTAGGCCCTGCTTGGTGCTGCTGCTCGAGAGCAGCAAATTGATTTTGGCCAGGCAATTGAGAGCAATCCCAGGACACTGCAGATGTCCAGCCAGGTCACAGAAGACCCTAGCGCACCTTGGCTGTGTCACTGACTGGATCCAAGGCCCAGGGGAAGAGATGCATCTGATCTTTACAACCCAACCCTTCTCATTCCTTGGGGACAGCCTGCTGGGAACATAGCCTCGGCAGGGTATGGGAAGTAGATGTGCTGCGGCTAGGCTGGAGCTGACCCTCTGACCATGTTCAATCAGCCAACCAAAGGAATGAGGGCGCAGGGTGTAATCTGCAGCCTTCTGTCTCCATTCTTCCCCCCCTGCCAGCTCACCCCGCTGAGTCTTGCAACGTGACACTCTATACTTTCCAGACACTGCACCTTCCACCCCCCCCCAGCTGGAGACCAATTTTCTTTTGATTCCAGGGTGTCTTTCAATCTATCATATGACCAAAGTGGATTACAGGGTGCACAACCCACGGGCCATTTGTGGCCACTGCCCGACTGATCCCTCCTCTGGGGAAAGCCTGTTCTGCCTACACACACACACAGAGCTATGACGCTTCCAG